TCTAAACGACAGGATTTGAACTAAATCCTATTCAAACAACATAATTAATGGCTAAACGCTCATTAAATAAGCTTAATTAATGTCATTGCTAACTAAATCCCATGTTTCCTTCTCGGTTCAGTGGATCCACGGGATATAGCCGAAGAAGCACGGAGGGAGACGGTTACCTTCACAGCAAGCTCTCCTTGCTGCTTGCGATCAAAATGTCGAAACTCCCAACCCGATGGAGGGGGGGACGCGGCTAGGTCAGAGGAAGGTCGGCTGCTCTCTCTCTCTCTCTCTCTCTCTCTCTCTCTCTCTCTCTCTCTCTCTCTCGGTTTCTCTATGGTTCGGAAGGATCAGGAGGTCGGATCGGGAGCAGGAGCGACGGGGTTGGCGTCGGGTCTGGAGATCGAAGAGGGAGAGATCGGGATTGGTTCGGCTAGAGTGGAGGTCGGCGGCTTGGAGTCGGACAGAGGAACATAGAGTGGGATCGGGAGTGAGCTGGAGTGCGAAGTGGAAGAGCGGTAGCGAACCAAAGAAGAGGGGTTCTGGGTCGGTATTTAACGACGTCTGGGGTCGTTCGATCGAGGCGAGTCGCTGGTTTTGAGCAAAAATCGCGGAACGGCGCCGAATGTGCAGTGATTCAGCGGGATTTGAGCGGAATTCACGGATCCGACGGGTAAGGTATGTATGTGATGCTTTTTTTTTTCTTTTGGTTTTTACATGAAGGTCAACAGTCATTAATATTATAAAGATAACCAAAAAATTTCTTTTAGTTTAAATCTCGACTCTTCAAATATTTTTCGTTTTAATTAATAGGAGAAGCAGTGGATTTATTCTTTTCAGTTATATGGCAAGTGGTGTTATGCCTTTTGATTGATATGCTTCTTTGTTTTCCTAAGGCTCTAGGAGAGGCTTATCAAGTCCTTAGTGATCCTACTAAGCGTGATGCTTATGACAAATATGGAAAGGATGGCCTTCCTCAGTAAGTGCAGAAGCCTATCTGGATTTTTTTCATAATGGAATTATATGAAATTATATTTAGCATTGGTAAATAAAATCTACACTTCCATTTTCTTTTTTGCATAATTATCAACTGTTGGTTCTTGAAGATGGAAAAGCTGCTATGTGACAAACTAGAAATGGTTGTCAACAGCACTCTTGGTATAGACGTTACTTGCTTTCCTATGTTCAAATTTCAGGGATAATATGATGGACCCTTCTGCAGTGTTTGGAATGATATTTGGAAGTGAGTTCTTTGATGACTATGTGGGACAGCTGACATTAGCAACTGTAGCATCTGTGGAAGTTGATGAATCTCTGTCTCCAGAAGTTAGAAATCAAAAGATCCAGGAAAAGCTCAAGGTACTTTTCATTTTGTTGAAATTTGAAAAAACATGGCACTTTCAGTTTTTTCTTCATGTTATTCTTAGGCCTTCTGTATGTGATGATAATTACTTGTTTGGAAGTACACTGATTCATGATTAACTTCTTTTCCAATTGGCAATGTTATGAGAAAATCCTTACTGTTTTGGCGCATGCTATTTCTAGTTCAGTATATTTTCCTTAATACGCATGTATGCTTTTGAATCATTCTGAGGTTATATGTTATTCAGTATAGGAACATTATATTTTAATGTATCTTGTTGTTCATGAAATTTTTTTAGTTTGTTACATCTATACTGTTATGTGAGATAATTTCATTCCGTTAATTAGTTTTGTTTGCCAAGCTTTGTAACATTAGAAGTTTTTTTTTTTGTCTACTTTCTATGCTATATGAATTATGAGGACAGTTCGTGTTTCAAAGTACAGGAGTTGCAGAGAGAAAGAGAGCAGAAGCTTATTCAAAATCTAAAGAATCTTCTTCATCCATATGTGACGGGACAAAAGGAGGAATTTGTGAGATGGGCTAATGCAGAAGCTTTTCGCCTATCCCAAGCTGGTAAATCTCTTTGTATCCATACATGGCGGTAATATTTGTGCTTTTCTTTATGGCACGAGCATGGTGGAATAACAAATCTACCAATTATGTTTCAAGATGTGTGAGTTATGCAAAAATGCCGCAGTATTATAAATTTATAAAAAAAGAGCAAAATTCAGTGACTGACAGGATCTGTCTGATATAAATTTATGCCATTAGAAATAACATGCCTATCAGTAAAATCATATTTTATATATTTTTGTTGATAATGTTTTCATTTTTTTATCAGTCGAAGATAATAAATTACATTAATGTTGCAGTCACACATAAATGTGTTAATATCTTTATCAAATGTTTTTTTTGTCTGGGAAAAGATAACTAAGAATTTAAGTGCTATTTCAAAGGGTTGCTAGATGGTGATAATTTGGAAGGAATTAATCACCTATGAAATGCATAAATTTGTCTGAATTAATCAACAATTATTTTCATAATTAGGCCCCAAATTAAAGCAATCAAGCCTGGGGGGGTGTTCTACATAGCTTTCCTTTTTTTCCCTTATTTGTTTTATTTTACTTGTTGTTTATTACCTTTATAAGGGGGATGATTTCCCAATAATTTGTACTTAATTCTCTTCCTTATATTGTACCTTGACTTCACTATCACAAGAAATATAATCAAGTCTTTCTCTTCTATGTTATGTTTGTCTCTTTATTTTAGCATGATGTTAGAGCCATCTCCTTTGCCTTCCTATCTGTTTTCTCACTTTTTCTTCATTTGTCTTAATTGTCTTTATGATTAAACATAAAATGGCTTATGATGAATGTTTCTCCTGAAACTGTTGACCTGTATACGATAGCCGAAAGCAAAAAAAAAGAGGATTTTGTATACCTGTTTGGAAGTCCGACCATGAACCCGACATGCCAATGACGTGCTCCGACCCGTCTTCTTGCACGATGCCTCATCGTTAAGGAAGAGGCAAGGGAATGACTTGGGTCATTGGCCATTTCCTCCATTCAAAATCCCACAAGTTGCGATCGTGATCTTCCCACACTCCCGCGATCCTTCCTTCTCTACCTCCCATCACACCCAAAGCTCCCGTTCTACCAAACCGACCTCGACAAAGATCCACGCATGCAGCTCCTCTCAATCCCGTCCGTCTTCCCCTCCATCCGTTTTAAGTGCAAGATGGTGAAATTTTCGATTTTAAATATTAAATTTTCAAATACCAAACCAATGCTGCTACTATACACCAGCTAACGCGTATTCTCTACGTATCTGATCGACGACTAGCCTTAATCGAAAGTTCTCTATCGTTATCGGGAGGGGTAATGAACTATAGGTACTTGCGCCTATAGGAAACCAGAACCCAGATCATAAAGTCCTCGTAAAATGAGGGCGAAATCTCTGGGTAGTATCTTATTTCAAACCCAATCTGCCTTCTGAAAAATTACTTCAGAACTTAATCCATTAAAACTCTCTCGAAAGCAAGGGAGGCCAGGGCACGAATTTTTGGAGCCGACAGAAACAACCATTCATGACAACATTGTCTATCATGAATGTCTTTCCTCTAATTCAACGCTCATTGGGCACAAGCTGAATAAGAAAAGATATCTCCAATAGGCCCAGTTAGTTATGAAGTTCATTAGTAGGAAATGCAAGGATGATTATCTCATGGGTGTAGTCATTCTCCCTCAAAAGAAAGATTTAAAATTTAGAATATAGAGATTTACAAATAGCATGGTTATGTACAGGACCAAAATTTTATGTTAATTGGAAATGCAAAAGAGATCTAGGATATTGCCAATGAAACATATTTAGATAATAAATATACTGTCGAACTACTTGAAATCGAAGATGCCTTCCATGATCTAATGTGTTATTTTTATTGTCTAATATTATAATATACGTAATTAGTATTGACAATAATTGGATGTCTTTGAAAAGTTAGATTGTGAGTGTTTAGGAGATGCTACCAAATATCAAACAATAGTTGAGCAAGTTAGGATAGTCAGATTTGTTCTTGATGTAAAGATAAATTTTGATGAATTTAAGGAAATATATTTGGAACAAAAATCCTCTCGTCCATTCGATAAATGTTCTCTACTAAAGAGAGAAAAATTGCAAAAAGATTATAGTGGGAGACTAGAACTCTAATTGCATTAAAAGATCCGCACTTGCATTTCAAAGAATATATACATCCGTCTAAAATTTCTTAGAAAGTAAAAAATTCTTCGCGTGATCACTGTTGAAATTCTGAACATGGTAAAGAAAGTCGGTGGAAGTTTTATGGGAAGCCTGCTAGGTGGATGCTATGAAATGAGGTTATGATTTCTTTGTATCAATGTTGACTCTTAGAAATCACCACCTTCCTCCACATTACCATCATTTAATCAATAGCAAATTAGGATGCTAAAAAAAGTGCAGATAAATCTTGATGAATTTATGGCAAGATATTTGGAACAAAAATCCTCTCGTCCATTCGATAAGTGTTCTGATGCGGACATCCAACCGTCCATGCCTATCCGAGGAGCTGAAGATCGACGACTGAGATCACTTTGTTTTATTATAGTTTATTAAGTGTAATTTTGCAATTTCTCTTTTTTACCCTCTTGTCTTATGTAAGCCCAAGGGGCAAATGTGTCTTTTAATTTCTTTTGAGGCCTATATATAGAGGCCTCTTCTCTTGTATTAGGTATGATGGATTATTAATAAAAAAAAATGTGCGTTTTGCACTTGGGTTATTTGGGAAGAACGTTAGTGAAATCCCTATGGGAGGGAGTCGGAGTTTCCTCCAGCCGCGGGATAGGTCCGGGCTCGTGGCGTGAAGTCCCTTGGAGAAGGGCAACGTAGTACCCGTCAGCCGCATGATGTGTCCGGGCTCGCGGTTGTATCTTTGATATTTTGTTTATTTTCTTTTGTTCTTTCTTATTGCTCTTCGTCGTTATATTCATCTTCTTCCTCCTCCCCATCTTCGTT